CGGCTGTTAAGTTATGCATTACGGGCTCTGGGCTGATGCAGTCATCTCTGCCCGTAGGACAAGAGCCCAACGTTGTCACCCATCTGAGGCTTGGAGGTTGGTGAGCAACTAGTCAGAGCAAGTGGTTTTTAGACGTGCCAAGTTCTTGAAGTTTTCAAGAGCATTTTCATGTACGTTTCCCTGTTGTAATGTACACTTCCTCCTCCGAGCCCTCAGAGCATCATGCAAAAGGTGGGGGCAGGTGGATGTTGGGGGCTGAGAGGTGTGCCAGGCCAGGGATGCTGCCTCCCGGTGGTGCCCCAGCACTGCCTCTCCCTCAGCAATTCCTGTCTGTGTGCCTCAGCTTCTCATCTGAAAACAGCCAACTGAGTGGACTCCAGAGTCCTCGCTTTAAATGACAAGATTTGATTAATCCTCATGTGACAGATGACAACTGAAATGTGGGTGTGGGTGTGGGCATTGGGTGGATATCCATCGGGGCACCCATCAGAAGAGATGGGGGATGCTCCCTGGGATGGGTGCCTCTTGGTCATTAGTTTGTCGTGTGTGTGTGTGTGTGCAGACCACCTGGTTGGTATCTCCTCGCCTGCAGACAGTGTTGGTTTTTGTAGCAGCTTCTGAGGCAGAATGGAATTTGAAGAATCCTGCCTTAAAGCTGATTATACATCTGACTTTTAGAAAATTTTTAGAAGAGTTTCAGGGCCTTTTGGTGGTTGAGCTTTGCTCCCTCGTAACCCTGGGAGCAAAGCTCAAGCTTTGCTTGATTTGAAGTGGTGCCAGGGTCTGCCAGAGGGAGGAGGCATGAATAATTTGCAGTGCACACAAGGTTACCAAGATACTCACCGGAAAAAAGCGCTGATAAATGGCTTGCTTTCCTAAGCCTTATTTACAGGATGAATTCCCTTAGATAATCCTAACGCCCGGTGACTCCAAACTTGGGGGTCTGTGTTAAAAGAGTAGTGAACTGTGATGGCATTCAACCAAATACCTAACACCTACTCTGTCCAGAGACTGAGGAACAGAGAGGTTAAGTGACCTGCCCAAGGTCACACAGCTACTAGTAATGAATCCAGACATTCTAGCTCCAGAAACGGTACTCATCCAAGGGAGACCGAAAAGAAACAGGTCAATTATAATTATTATATTGTGGGAAGTTCTACGGCAGTGCCATCCACCAGAACTTTCTGCAGTGATGAAAATGTTCTGTCTCTGTGCTGTTCAATATGGTAGCCACATGGAGCCCTTGAAATGTGGGTAATGCCACTGAGGGACTGAATTCTTTGCTTGCTTGCTTGCTTGCTTGCTTGTTTATTTATTTATTTATTTAAAAGATTTTATTTATTCTTGAGAGACACACAGAGACACAGGCAGAGGGAGAAGCAGGCTCCATGCAGGGAGCCCGATGCAGGGCTTGATCTCAGGACTCCAGGATCATGCCCTGGGCTGAAAGCAGGCGCCAAACCACTGAGCCACCCGGGGATCCCCCTGTATTTTTAAATTCGAACAAATTTAAATTAAATTTAAATAGGCATATGTGACTAGCAGCTAGTACTGGCTAGTATTGAATAGCACAGATATAGAGACTTGAGATCTAGCAGATGGTTCCGGGAAGGCTTCCTGGAAGAAGAGCCATCAAAGTTGAAATCTGAAGGCTGTGGTGGCAGCAGGAGGTGGCGGCTGCTCCAGCAGGTCTGGAGATGAGAGAGAGGAGTGGCCTGGGGCACATGAGTATGGCACAGCAGGTGGGAGGGCCTGGGAGGGGCAGGGATGGAGAGGAAGAACCCCATTAATGAAGGTCCCAGAAGCCATTTTTAAGGTGCTTGGACTTTACCCTGAGGGATGTGGGCTATTAAAGAGCTTTGGCAGGGATCCTGCAGGACCCCAATTCTGGTTTTGGGAAGTGTCATGGGAGGAGCTGGAGATAAAGGAGGCAGAGAGACCCTGGAGCTGCCAGAGGCTGGACAGAATGTTCTGGAAGGAGACTTTAAAGGAGTGGGAGTTGATTCGATGCAGGGGTGAAGGGGAGAGGAGTCAGGGATGCCGTCCTTGGGAATTCCAAGTCTGGCATGAGGCAGTGGAGGGAGGAGGCACGCATCCCTGCCTGTGGGGATTCCACATCCCTGAGCTAGAATCCTGACCCTCTGCAGCAGGGCTTGTGGCTGACCCCATTAACACCCCACCCCACTTCCCTTGCCCGTAGACTATCCAGAGGAGTTCAGAGGGCAATTCCCCGCCTCCCGCCCCGATTCCACCCTCGGCATCCTCTGGGACCTTGCCCTTCTGATCCCCAAAGGCCCACCTGGACCTCCCTGCCTCCATCCCCGAGCACTGAAAGGGGGAGAGCTAAGAAAATGGTTTTGATCTCCTGGCTCCTAAGCTTTATGGTTTCCAGAAATTATCTGTGGAGTCACTTGGCCAGGCCACAGAGCTGGAGCAGAGTGGAGGCAGCAAGCATTCCCCTTCCCCTGAGCTGTGACCCAGAACTGGCACCCATGTGCCTCTCACTGAGCTGAGCATACAGGGGTGCACAAGCCCCTCATCCAGCTTGCAGCCATCTGCAAAGCACTCAGGACAGCAATGTCAGACCCACTAGAAGGAACCCTTAAGATCCAACCTCTGGCTTCTGAATCTGACCCAGGTAGGGGATTAAGTTAGGGAATGACTGATTCTATGATATCTTTGAAAAACAGTGAGCAGCTGGGAACGTGCTTGGATGACCACTTCCATTCCTGGGTTCCAGGGAGAATTCTGTTCAGGGTGCAGAGCTTCTGAGAAGGTCAGGTGATTTTTCAAGGCAAAAACATCCAAAGTTTCCCCGAGTGGTGACTGACTTCATCCCTAAAGCGTGCATAGAGCCACCCCCACACGCCGCCCGTGGGCTTAGAGACTGGGCGGACTGTCCCAAGTCTGGCTTGCTCACCAGAAGCCAGAGCCTTAAAAATATGCCACCCCTTGACCTGATGATTATATACTTAAGAATTTCTCCTGTGGGAATAATCACAGTGATGTGTCACTTTAGCCTCAAGGATGTTCGTCATGTTGTTGATTATAACAGTGAAAAACATTTGCAAACTGAATGCCCAGCACTTGGGAATTGATTAAATGAACGTGCTGAGTCCATCCAGTGGGATCTTCTTCAGCCATTAAGGATGAGGCTATGGTTGAAGTGACCCAGGGAAAATTCTGAGCAGAGTATTGTCCATGGGTGACGGGTATTTTTCAAAGTGTTATTCTTTGTGCATTTCTATAATTTCTAAATGTTTTACAACGAACATGTATTATTTTGGTGATGAGCAAAAGCATTCTGCAGGCAGTGGCATTGGGTTGTGTAGAAATTAGCTGTTATCAGGGTCTCCAAGTGTGGCCACTTAGCAGAGGTGGCTGAGGGTTTTATTCTGAATTCACATCCTTGCATATACCCCTCCTACAACATCCCCTTGAGCATCATGGGGTACACAAGTATCCCCAAATGGTGAGAGGAAGAGAATGGGGAAGGAGATGGGCATTGATTGGGGATCTCCTGAGTGCCAGGCCCTGTACTAGGAGCTGTCACGTGGGTCCTCTTATTGGCATCCATGCCCTGAGGGTGGCCACTGTTTCCTCACTACGTCCTTGTGTCTCCTCTGTGCCCCAGAGAGGGAGGTGAAAACCCTGAGGTCATACAGCTAAGTATTTCCCCAGGCGTGCATTCATTCCCCTGGACCCTATATGTTTGTTCTGCCAAGGATGGTTTCATAGAAGCTGTGAAAAGGTGTAGAGTGTGGACAAAGATGCTAGAACATCCCGACCTTGAAGCCTGCATTAGCTAGGTTACAGAATCTCAGGGGTTGGGTCTGTGCTATGACCCCCCTCCCCACCCTGCCACCCAGTTCCCTGGTGCCTGGCACATAATAGGTGCTCAGTAAATTTCTGTGCAATCAATAACTTCTATGTCGAACTTTACCTTTTACAACAGTGAGTCCAGGGTAGGCAGGAAGAGTTCAGCAGGAGGAGAGATCACTGTGGGTTGCCATGGCTTTGACGAAGAAGGTGGATGGGAAGAGGGAGGGGTGCAAGCAAAATCGCAGAGGCTGGGATGTGTGAGGCTTGTGTGGGACCTAGTGAGGAGGTCAGAGAGGGTGGGAGGGGAGGGTTTGTTTGGGATGGGGCGGGAGATGAACTGGAGAGGATATTTGGGGCTCAATTGCAAGGGGTGTTGGATTTCCGCTGGAGGACTATAGGGAGCCATCGAAGGTGGCTGGGCAGGGAATGGATGTTTAATTTGCCAAAGTGAACAAGGTGGGGAAGCCAGTAGTTAATTCATTTAATGGAGCTCCGTGGCTGCCCACTGTGTGCCAGCCCTCCTTCAAGTGCCCCAGCCAAGGGCAGAGGCATCAACTGAGCAAGGGTGATAACTGAGGGATCCAGGCTGCCTGGGGTGCAGTACCCAAGCGTCCTGCCTGGGCTTGTAATAGGGATGGCCGTGGGACTTCAGCGAGGTGGTGCGCAAACAGCTTGGTCGACGCTGGGCACAGTGAACTGCTCCACGGGTACTGTGTCGGAAGCACGGTGGTGGTGGGAACCCGGGGACGGGGAACAGCTGAGGGAGTGTGCTAACCAGGTGGACAAGTCCTGAGAGATAGAAGATGGAGAGAAGATCGTCCAGTCTGTGGTGCCAGGCAGAGAGAGGGGTCCTGAGGATGGGCAGCACGGTGCCCCGCAGGGGAAGGTGCAGGGGAAGGTGATGCCTTCATCCCAGTCTGCTTGCCTGTAGCACTGATGGTCCTGCATCGTGCGGTGTCTCAGGCAAATTGGGACAGTTGACCACCGTAATGCCCACCCCGGACATTTGGACCCGTGTCTGAGCACGGGTAGGGACCTGGGGTAGGTTTGAGTCGGGGGGCGGGGGGCGGTTGATGGGTTTGAACTGGGGGCGATGCCATGTGATCTGCGTCAGCAGGGACCAGGTTCCAAGCATTTTTCCCTGATCGACATCTCTCCCCTCTGGCTTGTCTCTGCAGGACCAGCTGAAGCAGTGTTTCTCCAGGAGGCCCCCCGAGGCCAAGGACACCGACACCCTCGTGCAGGAAGCCGACAGCCAGTATGGGACATGGACAGACCAGCGCCAGAGTGGGGAGAGGTAGGGCAGGCAGGGTTCCCGGCTGCATGCGCAGGGCGCTTGGATGGAAGGCAGTGTGACCCACGTGCCCCCCCACTTCTATATTACTAGAACCCATGTTGTCTGTAAGCATAGGAATAACCCATTCTTGTTGTAAAAAAAAGAAATTTGTATAAAAAGCAAAAAAAATCATTTTAAATGATATAAATGAAATGTCCAGAGTAGGTAAATCCATAGAGACACAAAGTAGATGAGTTGCCAGGGGCTGGGAGTGGGTAGGTAGTGGCGGGGGGTGACCGATTTGTAAGTACCAGGATTCCTTTGGGGAAGATGTTCCAGAATGACCTGATGGTGATGGTTGCACCACACCAAATGTTCTAAATGTCACTGATGGTAAACTTTATGTTATGTGTATTTTACAAGGAAAGAAGTGACAAAGAAAATGAAAACCACCTGTAGTCCCAGCACACAGATCATTCACGAAAGCATGAATACGTTCCGTTAGATGTCCGTCTGGACTTGTCTTCAGGATGTCTGTGTGTGTTTGCAGATGTAGGAGTGCATGACACATGCTGCTGTATAAACTATGTCTTGCATGTAATGTCACCACAGTTAAGGCTTATAGGGCCCTCAGGTGTCTGATTAGGACTATGGCAGAAGCCTTGAGGTTTATCAAGTCCAGCCTAGATCCAGGAGACAAGCAGCTCTGGATTCCAGCTCCACCCTAGCTGCCGATGGGACTCTGGGTAAATTGGTGATGCTCTCCAGATTCGACGTTCCACCTCCATAGGAAGGAAATGATGCTTATAAGAACAGCCGGGGTTTACCGAGCACACGTGCCAAGCACTGTTATCAGCTCGTAAACATGTTAGCACTGAATCCTGCAGAGGTGAAGGCTGGGGCACCCCACCACATGGGGTTGTTGGGAGGGGAACCTGTGTGGCAGTTAGCATATTTCCTGGCACATAGTAGGAGCACCTATTCATTGCACCTGTTCGTTGTTTTAAAACTACAGTTTTTCTTCTACCCCTTGGGTGGGACCAAGCACAGTAGTGGCTTCGTGGACACCTGGGGTCTACACTGCTGTGTTCTCAGCAGCTCACGTCTTCCCTAGCTGAGGCTCCACTAACAGGGTCACATGGCCATGTGACCGTGGTCAGGGTCCCATGGTCTTTTGAGGTCAGGGTGACCTGGCTCGACTCTGGAATGGCCCCCTGCCAGCCTACCCCCCACCCCCACCCCCAGGCCCTAGTCCTTGTGACTCAGTTTCCTTACCTGTGGGTGGCCTGCCCAGGGATCAGATGGACACAGCCCCAGTCCCCCACCTGCCTTTCCCTGCCTCTCCCAGCCAGGCGTGGTCACAACCCTTCACTGGGTTATGGCTCACAGCCCACGATGTTAAAGTCGGGAGGAGGTGGATGGAATTGAAAATGGGTACGAGGGCATCCCTGGGTGGCTCAACGGTTTGGCGCCTGCCTTTGGCCCGGGGCGCGATCCTGGAGTCCCGGGATCGAGTCCCGCGTCGGGCCCCCTGGGTGGAGCCTGCTTCTCCCTCCTCCTGTGTCTCTGCCTCTCTCTCTCTCTCTCTTTCTGCCTCTCCTGAATAAATAAATACAATCTTTAAAAAAAAAAAAAAAAGAAGTCACTAGACTTCACTTAGATTTCCTGCAAGAGCCCTGTGGACTGTGAGTCTAAAGCCAGGGTCTGCCCCGCCCCCCTACCCGGGTCCTGGGCCTCCAGGGCCCCGTGGCCCCCCAGCTGGCCTTTGGGCCCTGGGCCTCGCCGGCGGGTGGGCGCCCCCTTCTGTTCCCGGGAGGCACTGCCGCGCCCCCTCCCCGGCCCGAGTCCCGCGGCCCCTGTCCCCAGCGCTGGGCAGCAGCGCCATCTGCTGCCCGTTTGGTGGTATTTCCCTCAAGTCTGGGCGGGTGGCGGAGGATTTACTTTAGATCCACCCCACACCCCCACATCCTGGCTGTTCCCAGTAATAAAACCATCCCAGGGCCTGCAGAGCATGGACGTGCTCGGTCAGTGAAGCACCTGTACACGCTCCGCTCAGGGGTTCAGCTCGGGCGGCCTCCAGGGCCCCCTCCTGTCAGGGAGATAGTGTCTGGGTGCCCCCCCACCACGCCCTTCTGCAGGGGTGGCTCCCCCGCGCTCTTAACTTTGATGTCTTTTTATGGGGAGGGGGCTTGTTAATTTAATGACTGAATCTATTTATGAATTTCTGTCCTATGTGGTTCCAGTTATCCAAGCTACACACTTAAATCCATTGCTGTGGGAGGAAATTCCAGAAGTAGGATAGAGTCAAGGGCAGGGATGCTGGAGTCAGTTCTGGCCCCCCCCCTCCCCGGGCAAGCTGAGTCACATCTCTGTGCCTTGGTTTCCTCGTCTTTAGCGAGGTTAATATTTAGTTTCCTGGGGCTGATCCTACCTGGTAGCATCCTCGTGGCTGTAGTAGGATCCTAGGGCAAGCCTCGCAGGACTGGGGAGAGGACCCAGTGACTGTGCAGCAGTGCCTGGCGCATAGTAAGTGCTCAGTAAATCTTTTTTTAAAGAATTCTTTTTTTTAATTTTTTTATTATTTATTCATGATAGTCATAGAGAGAGGAGAGAGAGGCAGAGACACAGGCAGAGGGAGAAGCGGGCTCCATGCCAGGAGCCCGACGTGGGACTCGATCCCGGGACTCCGGGATCGCGCCCTGGGCCAAAGGCAGGCGCCAAACCGCTGAGCCACCCAGGGATCCCCAGTGCTCAGTAAATCTTGACTGAGTGCATGCAGGAGTGGGTGGAGCCGGGCAGATTACCCTGCCTCCTGCTCTGCCACAGGCCACTGCCGCTGGCTTTTTGATCCACATCAGCGCAGTCCAACAGAAATACAACTCGAGCTGCAGATGTGAGATGTCGGTGACTTAAGATGTTCCAGTAGCCACCTCAAAAGAGTAAAAACGAAACAGGTGAAATTAATCTTAACACCTTAATTTCAGTAACAATATTTTATTGAATCCAGATCTGAAATATTATCATTTCCACATGCAATCAGTATTTTACATTCTCTCTCTCTCTCTCTCTCTCCCTCTCCCTCCCCCTCCCTCCCTCTCTCTCTCTCTCCACCCCCAATGTTGGGAATCCATTGTGGGCTTTATACTCTGGGCTTGCTCCTACCGCCTGGCGAGGGCTCAGTAGCCACATGTGACCAGTGGCCCCCACTCCTGCCCAGTGCGGGACAAGACTGACCCCTCCCCTTCCACACCTGTCCAGGTGTTCTGGAGGCACCGTGAACAGCGCCAGGCGGTGCCCAGGAAGGTTATCCTGCGGGGATGTTCTGCATCCCCTAAAGCACACCCTGAACCTGCATCCTGCCACCTCCACTAGAAATTCAGTCGTGTGCAACCACCTGCACAATTATGTCTCCCTTCCTTCCTTTCTGCTAGTTTGGCTCCCGAGTCCCCGTCCCCGGACAGCAGTGCCACGTCAGCGCGGAAGCAGCTGCCCAGCAGCCGCTTGTCCTCACTGTCCTCCCAGACAGAGGCCACCTCAGCCGGGGACCAGCTCAGCTGCTCCAGGGACCAGCGAAGCACCAGCATAGACCGATCCAGCACCGATTTGGAATCCACCGATGGGATGGAGGGGCTGCCCCCGCCTGACGCCTGCCCCGCAAAGAGGGTGGACGACTTCTCCTTCATTGATGTAAGTCGGTCATTGGGAGCATGTGTCAGCAAGAGTCATTTCTTCTTAAAGGGATGCTCTGGCATCTCCCAGGGAATTGCCCCTCTCAGGGGTAGAATCTGTGTGCCAGGGACCCCTGAGGTGGGGTGCAGAGGGAACAGTCTTCAAGATGGGACTGTTGTCTGCGTGTAGCTTGGACCTGCCGCACGCCAGCTGTGTGTCTTGGTGCAAATGTCTTCACCTCTCTGAGCCTTGGCTTTCTCATCCACTGACCACCAGCACAATGGGCTCTACGACCTCAAATATAATCACATCTGGCCAAATTAAAACTGATCCTAGCTCCCACCTGTTAGGTAAGCAGGAAGTCTAGCTTCTCATCCCTGGGGCGGGGAGACAGGGGTGCTGCCTGAGGTTTGCAATTCCAGGCATGCAGAGTCTGGAGGTTTGCTCAGCCCAATTCTGCTAGGTGTTCTCACCCAGGTCTTGCTTGGTGGCATATGTCTCTAATGCCAGTGGATCCAAGTTTCTCTGTAAATGGGTAGTGACAGCTCCAGGAAGGGGGACCATTCAGGCATAGATAGCCCTCATGTGGGTCCCCAGGGGCAGCCCCCAGAACTCAGCTCTTCTAGGTCCCAAGCAGAGCCAGCCTCCAGGATGCCAGCCACCCAGGCCCAAAGGCATCCTGCTCTAGCCCCTTTCAGACCAGTACCTGTCCTCTCTCCTCTCACAAGAGCCCCACCCACAGGGGTCAGGTACATTTTTCTTTCCAATCCTTGCAGTCCCATTATTCTCCTTCCCTGACAGTAGGGCTACCCCTCACCCAAACTCCCATGGATGCATCATCTAAATGGTGCAAAATCTAAAAGCAACCCATTCTCCTGGCAGTTAAGCCTCGTGCCCACACTCTTGGGGATAGCTACCCAGATTCCCTCCAGAAGGAACATCACTGCTTTGTGGGAAGGGGCTTCCTCTGGATCCTCACAGGGGATTCCCCCTTCTAAGTGTGAACAGGGTCTCTTGCTGGCATCTCTTAATAAAGGCAGAGATGGGGAAAGACACAGTGCAGTCTCCCTTGGGCCACCCCACTGTATAAACATGGACGTGGTGTGGGTTGTAAGGATTCAATTAGGTGATGTGTTCAGGTATTCAATCAACAAACATTTATGGAGCTCAAGCTGTGTCCCAAGCTTTGCTGTAGCTTGTGTGCTTGTGTGATGTCACCATGCCAGGGCACAACCTACTGGACTGACCTTCTAGAACACTAAGCAGTTCTTTCTCAGTGTCCATATAAATATCAACAGCGGTGGCAACAGCCACCGGTCTCTGAGTGCTGGTCCCTGGACTGATCATATGCCAGTAACCCCAGGAGGCAAAAGTCCTGCCCCATTTTGCAGATTAGAGAACCAACGCGGCCATTGCGTGACTCAAATGCGAGTGCCCCAAGCACTGGCTGCTTATTTATCACGTACTGAGGTCTAGGTACACTGCCCACCACAACTCAGGGCTCCCGTGAGGGCTGTTTGGAGGCTGAGAGTGGAGGTGAGGCACCAAGGCCATTCAGGCCCTGCCCCAGCCCTGGGAGAGCAAACCAGTTGCCCCTCAAACCAGCTCCTCCTCGGGGTAGCTTTTCTGCACTCTCTCTGAGTCTGAAAACCTGGATCTGTCTTGCTGCCTCTCCCCCCAGCCCAATCAGGCCCCCCACTGGCCACCATTGTGCCCAGTTTGAGAAGCAGCTGCAGGAACATTGGCTCCCTCCTCCCACCCCCAATGTGGTATCTGCCACTCATTAGCTGTGGGAAATGACTCACTGAAATTAGCCTGTCATCGCTCCTTTAGAAGGCCTTGGGTGACGGAATTTCTCCAAAGCAGACCTAAGAGGGAGGAACCGACGCTTCAGGCGAGCACACGAGCCGGCCAGCAACAGCTCCTTGCCTGAGTGAGCCTTCCTCAGACACCATCTGAAACCAGAACTCTCCATCCCTGGCCTCACTGAATTCTCTCAACCACTGTGGGCGGCAGATACTACTATGATCCCCTTTTTACAAAGAGGGGCACCTGGGAGCGTTTGTAAACTCCGCCGCTTGAGGTCACACAGCTAGGATTTGAACTGCGCAGGATTTGAACACAGAGCTGAGTTCTTTGCCACCATGCCCCCAGGGTGACCACCAGGCTGGTGGCTGTCGTACCTCCTTGCTGGGTCCCCCTGGGTGGTCTGCATCCCGGGCACCTTTCACCGTGGAAGGTGATAAGCTTGGAAAGCATTACGGACCTTCTACTGCCTCTGCTCAGTGTGGATGCTTGTAGACAAATGCTTGGTACAAGTACTTTGCCCTGCACCCTCCACCCGCACCCTGAAGTATTGTGGGTGATGAGGGGAGGACGCACCCAGGATGCCTCAGCTCCCAGGCCCTGTGTGAGTAAGGTTCCTGCAAGGATTTAGCTAGATGATGTACTCGGTCATTCATTCAGCAAGCAAACAAACACTGATCGGGCTCCTGCTGTACACCGAGCGCTAATCTAGTGTACATGCTCCTCTGCTGTCACCAGAAGGGGAAAGGCATTTTCATCACATCCACTATGTGGCTGGCACTGTGCTAGGGCACTTGAGGTTCGTGTGATTAGTGTAACCAGCCTACGTGGTATGGCTTGCAGAGAAATTTAGGCTTACGGTGTTTAGGTGACAATAAAAATGTGCAAATGCTAGCCCGTGTGCCAGCCAAACAGCATCTCCTGTGTCAGGGAAGCTAAGCACACGGGCCACGGACAATGGCCTCAATTCATGCTTCCCTTTGCTTTGCCCCCTCCTGCCCTCCTCCCTGCCGTTCCCACAGCAAACCTCTGTCCTGGACTCAAGTGCCCTCAAGACCCGGGTGCAGCTCAGCAAGCGGAGCCGCCGCCGGGCTCCCATCTCCCACTCCCTCCGGCGCAGCCGTGTTAGCGAGTCGGAGAGCCGGTCTCCTCTGGAGGAGGAGGCCGACAACGCGTGGATGTTCAAGGACTCAACAGGTATGCCACGCCCTCCCTTCTCCATGGACACCACGCTGAACTGCAGGACGGATTTGGGTTAGAGACAGAACTTCCTCCTTTGTGGCTGTAGGATAGCAGAGCTCAAGTGACGTGGGAAACTGCGCTCTCTGGTTCTGCGGACCTTATTAGAAACTGGGTCAGGATGATATAGTCATTGGGGCTCCTTGGGTTGCCAGGGAGAGAGATACAGCTTAATAGGTTTTTTACCAATTCTGCCTTTACCCTTACTAAATTTACTCACACTTCCTTGAGGTCTGTTTGCCGGTCTGGGCCAGATCCTTGAGTTGAAAGATCAGGTTTATTTATCATCGGCCTCTTTTGTTTCCAATCAATTATTTAAGGCTATGCATTTTCCTCTAAGGACTTCTTTGGCTGAATCTTATGGCAAAACCTGAACTGAATCTCAAAGAGCCCATAGGCATCAGCCAGGGAAGGGTCTTCCAGACAGAACAGTGGATCAGAGGGGCAGAGGTTCGGGAAGAACGTGTGTGTGTGTGTGTGTGTGTGTGTGTGTGTGTGTGTGTGGCAGGGGCCTCTGTAAGTGGTTTGGGAATAGCAGGGATCATGCCGGAAACATAGGCAGAGGCCAATGCATGGACAGTCGTGATTCCTTGTTAAGGAGTTTGACATCGTCTGTAGATAGGGAACCACAGAGGAGTGTTAAGAAGAAGCAGAACTGGGGCACCTGGGTGACTCAGTGGTTGAGCATCTGCCCTTGGCTCAGGTTATGATCCTGGGGTCTTGGGATCGAGTCCCGCATTGGGCTCGCTGCAGGGAGCCTGCTTCTCCCGCTGCCTGTGTCTCTGCCGCTCTCTGTGTGTCTCTCGTGAATAAATAAATAAAATCTTTAAAAAAAAAAAAAGCTGCAGAATCTCCTCTTGTAATGGAAACCGTAGCAGGTGACCTCCTCACTCTACACATATGCAGCAGTTAGTCCCTCAAACCGTTGTGGGGCCTTTGTTCACTTGGGGTTTGCCCACAGCAACCAGTGGGACGTCAGGCCAGTCTCCAAGCTGAGTGAGGGGTGACGTTTCTGAAGAAATGCTTGGAGGGTCCTCCCTCCCTCTCCTACCTCATGTTTATTATCATTATTATTATTATTTTAAAATTTTATTCATTCATCTGATAAACAGAGCACAAGTAGGGGGAGCAGCAGAGGGAGAGGGAGAAGCAGGCTGTCTGCTGAGCAGGGAGCCCGACGTGGGACTCAATCCCAGGACCCTGGAATCATGACCTGAGCCATCCAGGGCCCCCCTCATGTTTGTTCTTAAAGGAAGTGTTTAAATGCCTTGAGTGAGACCTCTCTGCACACTTTCTGGGTTTGCTGAGCCAGATTCCACTGAGTTGCCTGGAGCAAGTAAAAACCAGCATAGGTGGGATCCCTGGGTGGCTCAGTGGTTTAGCGCCTGCCTTTGGCCCAGGGTGTGATCCTGGAGCCCCAGGATTGAGTCCCGGATCGTGTCCCGCATCAGGCTCCCTGCAGGGAGCCTGCTTCTCCCTCTGCCTGTGTCTCTGCCTCTGCCTCTGTGTCTCTCATGAATAATAAATAAATAAAATCTTAAGAAAAAAAAAAAAACAGCGTAGTGACAGAGGCACACCGTACCCCCAGCTGGAACATGTCAGCAGCCCTCTGGTTCCCAGCAGCCTTGAGGAACAAGCCTGGGGCTGGGGAAGGCCTGGGGGTCCCCTTTCTGACCGCCCCCAGTTCCCTGCACAGCCTAGGGGCTCCAGAGGAGCAGGCCTTGCCTGGTTCCTCCCCGTCCATCCCCATTCCCTCCCCCTACTCCCCACTACACCCAAGCCCACGTCAGGGCCTCCGGGAGGCTGGAACCCCTCACCCCTCACGCCTCATGGACAAATGGTCCATGTCTCCAGAGTGTCTCCCATGAGGCTGGAGCATGGCGATGGGGTTAAGTCCCCATAAAGGGGGCTCTGGCGAAGGGAAGTGGCTTCCTGGTCCAGCCCTGGGCAGACCTTCCATGAGACACACGAAGCCCTCTGCTCCCCCTTCTGAGACCACGAGCCCCCTGCATGGCTGGCTTAAAGCATTTCTGTCTCCTTCCCCCCCGCCAAAGACTTGCTTCTCTTACCCTGACTGGGAAGGAGCCAGGAGCCAGGAGGTGGGTGTGTCTGTGCCTTCTTCTCCCAGGAGAACACCTGTCATGCCGCATCGTCTGCGATGAGAAACCTGTTTGTAAAATGGGCCAGTGATCACTTCCGGGCGGGGCTGGCGCGAGGACTGCAGGAGGGACTGTGCAGAGGACCCGCTGGCTGTCAGTGACTTCAGTGCTGTCTTTTCTTTGCCACAGAAGAGAAATCTCCCAGGAGGGAAGAGTCAGATGAGGAGGAGGAGAAGCCCTCCAGGGCTGAGAGGACGCCCAGCAGCCATCTGCAGAGGATGCCTGTATTTCCAGGCATGGACCCGGCCGTCCTAAAGGTACCAGCCTTTGCACCCAGAGCTATCCTCAACCTTGGCAGCAGAGGGAACAGGCCCCATGTTTCCTTCCCTCCCCTCCCCCCACTCCCATCCCCTCCTTTTCCCCTTATTTCCTCCCTTCCTTCCTTCCTCTCCATTTTTGAAACAGTTTGACTCAAGAAGTTCCAAAAATAGTGCAGGGGATTTGCATGCCTCACCCCAGCAATACCTCACATGGCCACAGTACCTGTCATGTTTTGCAAGTATAAAAAAATCAGTAAGCAGTAGATGCACGCTTGTCCCTGTGGCTGATTTGATAGGCCTTCCAAATGCGAATGTCTTGCAGCCGCTGTGCTAGACTGGGGGGTGGGGGGTGGGGGGTGGGTTCCTGCCTTTCATTTCCAGCATGGGGACAGATGATCTGTCACACGGCAGCCTAACACAGCAGGCAGCGAAGGCCCTTGGCTCCCATGTGGACGCCCCGTGTAACCCCCAAGGCCAGTTCTTGGGTTCCTGGACACAGCTTGGATCCACCACACACTGTCCAGAGGAGGCTCTTGCAATTCATGTGCTGTGGTTAGCACGCGCTCCCCGAGCCTAGTGGCAGCCACACCTGCTCCGGTTAGTCTCGGCCATGGGCAATGCTCAGCAGTTGGGAACAATCAGGGTAGGCGGCTGCCAGGCTCGTTCTTGGGGGACGGAGGGTGAATCCCAGGTCTTGAAGATTGCTTGACCTTTCACCGTTAGGCTTCTCCTCTGTAAAATGGGGAAAACCAGCCTCTACCTCAAGCTAATGTGCATCAGACGTATTAGGCCCGGTAGAGTCCAAATGGTGGGTGCTTAGCCCACAGAGCCCTCAGGCAGGTGATGGCGATGGGGGCCCTCCGCGTCGCCTTGGAGACAGCTGCCACCTGCCACCAGCACCCCCCTGGGCCTCAAGGGAACTCTATGCACACCATACTGTCACTCCAGCCCCAACCATGTCCTACAAAAATGGGGGGAGACCCGCTGCCTTTTTCCTTTGGGAACGTAATACTCAGAACCTTACTTCATTCCTGTGGACACAGGACCAAGGAGCTTAGCAGGGCTGAATGTCATCTGCAAGATAGGGCTGTAAGCGCCATGTCGGGGTTCTTGGGGAACATCCTGTCCTGAGAACACACAAATGGTGGCTTTTCCATTGAGGATGACATGATTGTGTGGGGTTTTGGTGGTGCTTCTTTGATCCTCATGGCCACAGGTGGCCACGGAGGCTACATGCTTGGCCTCTGATTTCTCTTAGCCTCCAAGGTCAAACAGCATCTCCCCTGCCCTGGGATTTCCTGCCTGGGTCCATTCAGTTGCTGGAGGGCCATCAGATGGGACCCCTCCACAGACCACAGGTGGTTACAGACTCAGTTCTCTTCTCTCTCCAGGCTCAGCTGCACAAGAGGCCAGAGGTCGACAGTCCCAGCGACACCCCAGGCTGGGCCCCCCAGCCCAAGACCCCCAAGTCCCCCTTCCAGCTGGGCAGTCGTGTGCTGCCCTCCAGCATGGAGAAAGACGAGAGGTGAGGGGTCCTAGGGATGAGCACCCCCCCCCCAGACTCAGGATGCAATGCTGGGAAGTGCTTGCCGGGGTCTTAGAGCCGTATGCAAGGGGATTTTCAACTATTATTTTCCCCTCTAGCAGCAGAACTTTGTTCACGTTAAACTTTGGGCAGCCTGATACCTAAAATCACACCATGGTGGGGGAAGAGGACCAGGAATCAGGCCGGCTGGCCTCTCATTTACCCTCTTCCCTCCACGCCCCACATGGAAATCCAGAGCTGTGTTGTGGGAAGACTACTGACCTAGTCCAGCCCTCTCCAGACTGATTGGGAAACTGAGGCATCCTCTCTCCTCTTGCCCTCTAGAGAAGGGCCTTTGTCTCAGGTGAATCAGAGAGACCCAGGAAGATGGATAAAAGGGCACAGCCAGGATGAATGAGATCCATGAATTCAGCTGCCCTGCACAGAGCCACTGGCCCTATCCCAGGCTGGGCCAGCATGACACAGAGATGAACGCAGCACAGCACCTGCCTCCTCCCACCCAGGGGGCTCCCAGACCAGGTGCTTAGGCAGCTGGGGGTAGAGGTTACAGAGCACAGCTCTAAAATCACACACATCACGCAACCCAGGCTCCATCTCAGCAGTGCGGCTTAGGAGCTTCATGGCCATGGAGTCACTTTGCCTCTCTGAGCCTCAGTCTCCTTATCTGTAAAATGGATTGGCTCATCATTCTAACCTTCCAGAGTGATCATGAGGATGAAATGAGGAAGCGTGTGCAGAGCCCTTTGCCCTGGTGCTGGCTTACAGACGTGCTCACTACAGGATAGTGGGATTCTGGAGTGCCTGGGGGGTGTCAGTCACTTGAGTGTCTGACTCTTGATTTGAGCTCAGGTCATGATCTCAGGGTTGTGAGATCAAGCTCCCACATCAGGCTGTGCATTGGGCATAGAGCCTACCTAAGATTCTCTCTCTCCCTCTGCCTCTGGCTATTCCCCACAATTTTCTCCCTCCTTCCCCAAAAAGGATAGTGTGATTCTTATCACAATTTAACACATAAAAGTTAGGGATTATTCACACTAGTGTAATGTTATAAGTGTTGCAATAGAGCAGCAAGCTATAGCCCACAGGCCAAGTTCAGCCCTCTGTCTGTTTTTGTAAATAAAGCTTTATTGTCACACAAGCACACTCATTCCTCTCTGTGTCATCTAGGGCTGTTCTTCCATTACAGCTGAAGATATGACTAGTTTTAGCAGACACCTCATGACCCACAAAGTCAAAACTACTTACTATCTGGCTCTTTATCTGACCCCCGTGATAGAGGAAGGGCTCCTAACCCAGACTTGAGGAAGAAAAATGCAGAAAAAAGGCTTCCAAGAGAAGGAATTTCCTGAATTGAGTCAAGATAGACAAAAAAAAAAAAAAAAAAAAGGCAGCATGAGGAGGTCCCAGGCTGAAGCCACAGCACGTGCAAAGGTCTGGAGTCCCAATAGTACGGGGAGCTATAGCCAGTGCATTTAATCAGAGAACAGAGTGAGTTGTAGCAAGAAAAGGAAAAGAGATTGAGAGAAAAACAAGGTCACAGTTGAGATGGTGTCTCTCGTGCTCTGGGGACACCAGAATTGCAGGGCTGCTCTGGAGTCAGCTGAAGGCTCCAGCATTTCTCCAGGGCTGGGGAAGCCCCCTGACTAGGGTCTCGTAAGCACCTCTGGAGGCCTGGTCTGGTGCCTTTGCCATCAGGTGACACTTGCCTTGGGGACCCCAGAGTCCTGTCTGCCCAAAGGACCTCTCCTTCCTTGCGCACTCCTCATCCCACCCCAGCTAGATGAGCGAGTTCCCTGAGACCTCTCAGGCCTTGGGGTCAGGAGCTTTCTCTGAGGTCAACACAGGTCAGATCTTGTGAGTGCTATGTTTAATTATAAAACTAGTATATGCTCACCATACTAGACCACCAGTGTGACGTTGGGGCATCTCTCCTGTCATTTTAAGTCTTAAAATTAGTCTTAAAATTAAGTCTTAAAATGTAGTTGAGGGGATCCCTGGGTGGCTCAGCAGTTTAGCTCCTGCCTTCAGCCCAGGGCGTGATCCTGGAGTCTCGGGATCGAGTCCCATGTCGGGCTCCTTGCATGGAGCCTGCTTCTCCCTCTGCCTGTGTCTCTGCCTGTGTCTCTGTATGTCTCTCATGAATAAATAAATAAAATCTTTAAAATAAAATGTAGTTGATATTACGATTATATATACATAGTTTCTTTTCCTGTTACATATTTCATGTGGTCATTTTCCCAAAGCCATTAAACATCTTCATAAAAATGATATTTTTTTTTCAAAGAATGATGACTTCATGGCTTTTGTTAAAATGGGGTGTTCTCACTACAAGCGATTCTGAGAATACAGGAAAGTACATGAAGAAAGTAAAAAATAAAATAGAAGTGTCACCACTGAGATGGTGGCTGCTCAAATGTATTCATTTTGAGAAAATTCACTGACCTGTGCACAGGTCACAGGTTTGAGTGGTTTGAGTACTTTTCTGGATGTGTGTTCTTCAATTCAAAGAAGCTAAAACAAACCTTACCCACCCCCCATCCCCCGCAAACAATCATCTTTCATTATTTGGTGAACATAAGGCATCTATCTGTGTCTTATGGGTATTGCATTAGACAGTGTTCTCCAAAGAAACAGAACCAATAGGATTGTATATATACATGTACACAAACAGAGCAGGGGGAGGGAGGGAGGGAGGGAAGAGGAGAGGGAGGGAGGGAGGGAGGGAGAGAAAGAGAGAGATGTTGAGAAACGGAGAAAGGGAGAGAAAGAGAGAGATGTTGAGAAACAGAGAAAGAGAGAGAGATTGAAATTTATTTTAAGGAATTGGCTCACATGGTTATGGGTACCACCAAGTCCCAAATCTGCATGGCAGGCTGTTAGGCTAGAGACTCAAGGAAGAACCAGTGTTGTAGTTTGAATCACAAAAGCAGTCTATTATCAAAATTCTCTCTTCTTCTGGGGAGGTCAGTCTTTTCCTATTAAGGTCTTCAACTGATTAGATGAGGCCCACCCATAATACCGAGGGTAATCTGCTTTACTCAAAGTCTACTGATTTAAATATTAATTTCATCTTAAAAAATACCTTCACAGCACCATCTAGAATAATGTTTAGCCAAATATCTAGGTGCCGTGGCCTAGTCAAGTTGACACATACAATTGACCATCACAGGCATTTACATGGGTAGAGAGCAATAAGGATGGAGACGTGCCTGGGTGACAAATGGATGGATGGAAATAAATTCTTGTGTCAACGTGACTTCACAGCTGCCATTATTTTCATAGAATGGTGATTTATTTGCCATTCCTTGTTGTTGGGTGCTTTGTTTAATTCCTGTATCTTGCTCATCAATCACAATAACATAGGTACCTTCACCGCCTGTACGTGCCCAGCTCAGCAGCACCTGGGTGCTGTGGGTGCAGGGTCAGCTTCCTCCCAGCCCTGCCTGCAAGGAGTCCTAAGTCTGGCACACACTTGACTGTGTCTGGCTTTGTGGTTTCAGGTCGGAAGAGCCCTCTCCCCAGTGGTTAAAGGACCTAAAATCCAAGAAGAGACAGAGCCTGTATGAGAACCAAGCTTGAGCAGGTATGAGGGGAGGGCGTGGTGGAGAACCTGGGGAGAGCCTGCAGTCCAAGGAGTGGAGATCCTGGACTGGGAGTCAAAGGGTTAGAGTCTCGAGGTGTTGCACTCTAGGAGAGAGAAGAGAAAATGGGTGCAAGTGTCCTGGGTTCCTCTAAAGAGAGCAGTGAGGATCTGTTCTCTTAGGGGAAAAAAACCCAGGTGGACAGCCTGGTCGAGGAGCCAGATAACCTAGGCTCTGGGCTCGTGCACTTCTCTCTGCATCTCAAAACCCTTTTATAAAGTGGAAAGGCAGGACATCAGAGGTTGGCTTAATCTGAAATGTCTCCAGTTTTTACCTTCATATACCACTGGTATAATTAAAAATTATTTTGAACAAAAAAGATTTAAAAAGTGAGATGATTAAATATGCCCTGGTGTAGGTCCCACAGGACTTCACATCTCGAACTTCAGGCTCTCAGTAAAATGTGGTAACAGCGCCCATGTCACCGAGTGGTCCCCGGAGCTCACTGAGGATGCACGAAAGTGCTGGTGGTCAGTCCTAGGTGTAAGAGCACTCGCTTCCTGCTCTGTAAAAAGTTGGCTCTGATGTGAGTAGCACAGGAGACCCACCAGCGCCTTACCCAGAAAACACTGACAACAAAGCGTTTTCAGGTCCTCCTTAGTGGCAAAACCTGACCTGCATGGATGTCTGTACTTTACACTGCAGGTATATTATGGGGGCGTTACATATTGTGTATGCATATATGTCACATAATGTATATTTATGCATATATGCATGTATGTATGTGTATATAATAACCTCTCCCCCACCCACCCAATTTCTAAATCCCAGGTAAATCTGCACTCAAGGGTTTGGGATAAGGAATCTGACCCTGTGTTTATTTTGTGTTTAGCGCTATACATGTAATATTTCAGTTAACCTTCCAGCAGTACACCTGAGGAAACAGGCTGGAGTCCTAACCTGACCTTCAACCTCATGTTTATTCAACTTAATCTGGCCACCTGCCCACCGTCCTCACCCCACTCCTAAAAAAAAGGAAAGAAAGAAAGAGAAAGAAGGAAATAAAGAAAAAGGGACACCTGGATGGCACAATGGTTGAGCATTGAGTGTCTGCCTTTAGCTCAGGTCATGAACCCTAGCCCGGGGTCCTGGGATCAAGTCCCGCATCAGGCTCCCCACAGGGAGCCTGCTTCTCCCTCTGCCTGTGTCTCTGCCTTTCTCTCTGTGTCTCTCATGAATAAATAAACAAAAATCTTTTTTAAATTTTTTAAAAAAGAAAGAAAAAAAAAAGTCATCTTTCCTGGCCTGTGACTTGTGGGGATGGCCATCTTGGAGAATACCAGAAAAGGTTTAAAGGCTTGATGGCAGAGACACATAGGGTCACATGTTCCCCTTGCTGACACCAGGACTGTCCCTTCCTCTCCAGACAGGGGACACTGCCACGTCTAATGAACAGAAGCCTTAACTGTCAGAACCCGAAGATGAGGCCACGCTGATGTCATTCCTTCCTGCACATGGTTACCTACCTGGGCCCTTCCAGTTGGGTGGAGAACACTATCCAGCGCCTCCTGCCTCTCTGCAGACTCTCCCCGGATCAGGGCGGGAAGACCCAACCTCCTCAAGCACTTGCACGTCTCCCCAGACAGCACTTCAAGCTGAGAACAAAGCCAGGCTGCCCAGAATTGTCCATGCTGGTGGTTTTGTGTTTTATGTAAAAATGTGTGTTTCTACCTACTTTAGACATCACTCCAGGGACATCAGTTTGAGGCTGGACCATCTCCCTGGGTTCCGGAAAACACCTGTATTGTGAAAGCACCTCTTTCTCCAGGGCAAGTCTCTTTCAGAAGCTTATTTCCAAGGAAGAAGAAACTCTGTTTCCTGCTGTAATTGTGGTCCAGGGCAGCGTTATTGGGTTGGGTTTTGATTGCTTTTTTGGTGAGTTCCATCTCCCTCCCTCTCAAAGAATCAGCAGTTCCAATTTTTTTTAAACGTACCACCCTCATTTCAAGTATATTTATCATTACAATGGGGCTGTGTGCATAGTTGACTTGTTCATTATCTGTCACTTTTATTTGCTTTAGAAGGCGTTAAAGCAATAATTCAGCCAATTTTCTTTGAAGTTTGATATGTATATATGTTTTTTACGTTAAAGAGCAGAAGGAAAGATGTATGAATAATTTGCTTGAAGTATCCGATCATCTCAGGTTATCTTACCCCATCCATGCTTTTAACAAAAACTCCAATTGTCATCTTTGTGTGTATGTATGTTTTTCTTGGTTTCTTTTCATTTGAGCTCTGGTTTCTGTGGAGTGACCTTTGTCCCTTGGCCTCAAGGGTTCATAAACTGCAGCCCAAATGTGGTGCCTTTTCCACTCAAACATCAGACCCGCCCTGAGAATTTTTTTCTCGTCTTTTTTGAACACCACCCAAGTTGCCAGCATGGAAGAGCCATTCCAAATTGGAACAAATGGATGAATGGGGGTTATTCTGCTTCTTCTCACCTCTTCCTTCTACCACTTCCCCACCCCACCCCCTGCCAACCCCACCCAATTGAGTGCTCCCTCGAGGTCCAAATGTAGGAAGGGAGGTCTTGCTGAAATCCTTCTCTGGACAGAAGTGCTGGATGCTAGGTGACAAAGTGTAGGATTTGCCTTGCCTCTTTTCTTTCTTGCTAACTCTAAGCTCATTCCCAGGAATATCTAAGACCTCTGGAGGTTGTAGGCACTCTCTACATGGTCTTTCTTTTTGGAAATCCTCAACACCAGCCTCCTCCACCTCTGAAACCCAAGGATCCAGCAAACACCCCAGATATTCTTGACTGGCCACCTGCCATGCCTGGAGTTGCCATAAACTTTGTGCCAACCTTCTCTGGGAGATGCCCATTGCTGAGAAAGATGAGTGGGCAGTTCATTGGACCCCCTGTGACTGCTGAGGGGCCCCCGGGCTGAGTTTCCTAAGGCTAGATATGGAAGGGATGGGCCTCATGCATACCCACCCATTGACTTCCCAAGACATGAAAGTCTTTCTTGATAAATCCATTATTTGCAAATGGTGTCAAAACATCCCTTCCTTCTCCCTGGCCATGTCTTCAGGAGTCTCCATTTGTCTCCCCATCTCTTCTTCCTCCCTTACAACCTTTTACCATCTCTTCCTTCTCTTGGGAGTGGGGGTCAGGGGTCAATGTAGGTCAATCCTGTTTCTCCGGGTTCAGCTGAAGCCCCGCCCCCTTCCCTGTCAGGTTAGCTGAACTTTGGCTACCGATGGGCGGTTGTGCGGTTGTAGATCCTGTCACCCACCCAGCCTTTTCCATCTGGAAGCCTCATGCATCTGTGTCTAGAGATTTGGCCTACTTGATAATAGTTTGTGTTCTTTTTGTTCTCCGAGTTAGTGGTCAATCAGTTCTCTGTGGCCTTTGGGTGGAGATACAATTCCTCTAAGAACTGCATCTTTGGGTGATTTTTATTTTCTTTCCTTTTCCTTCTTAAGTAGGCTCCATGCCCAGTGTGGAGCCTAGCTAGCACAGGGCTTGAACTCACAACCCTGAGATCAAGACCTGAGCTAAGATCAAGAGTCAAATGCCTAACTGACTGAGCCCACCCAGGTGTCCCTAGATCTGGTTAATATTTTAAAACAATTTTCATGCAATGGCTTTCCAGGTCAATAAGTCCCCTTTAAAGGCACTCATGCTCTGACCCTGACTCTTTCTGTCTGTCTGTCTTTCCTTCAGGTGGGAAGGGCCCCTTGGTACCATCCTGGTCAGTAGAAATTGACCTGCTGTATTCAATGAGATTATAGATACTCACCATGCAGAACTCTCCAATCCTTAATTAGATGTGTCTTAGCCCAAATATACTCAACACGAAAGAACACTTGAACATGAGATTAACCTGGAGACCTTTTGCCTAACCTCCCACACCTTGATTGGAAATAAATATCCTTTAATTCCTTGGTGATTAGGACATTCAAAGTCCACCCCCTTGGGATTGAGGAGAGCAGCCTCACCTCTTCCTGCGGAGCAGACATCACAGTGGGTCAGGAGCCACCCTCTCCACACAGGCTCCCCTTGACCTCTGGGTCCCACTACGCTCAGTGCAAGGAAGTTAGAAGTGACTGGTGCTTGGAACTTCTGCAGATGACTGGGCAAGCATATCATTGTTTTTCCCCTCTTCCTAAGCTGAGTGAACTCTTTGGCATTAAGCAAGTGGTTTTATGCTGGTTTCTTGAGTTTGCCTGGAGCCTCTTTTTAAACTAACTTAATATGCCTTAACCGTTTGTATGCAATCAAATCACCTGCCCTCATCCAGGCACCTTCCTGGGGGTCTTTGGCTCTCCTTAAATGAGAGTCTTACACAGAATGCAAATCCCTATGTATGTACAATCTGTCTACAGACACACAAACACACACGCACACACACAGATACACACACACACCCTTTGCACATCAGCATTTTGACAGCTGGTCTTTTGATAAGTCTGTATCTTTTTCCCCCACCACAGATCCCCTTCTTCATGGTCCCTTGCCTGATGAAACAGAGGCCTTTAGCCTATGAAATCCCATGGCAAGGCCTCAAAAATCAGTGTTGTGGAGAATTCCTTGGTGCCACCAGAGAAATTCTGGCAAAACTGAAGCTTCGCATTGTTTCAGGTTGGGGGTTTTGAGTGACATTGACCTGACAGCCTCAGGTTACCGAGGATTCGGGAAAAGGACCATTAGATGGGAAGTTTTCCGGGGGACAAGCCAAGTCCTATGCTTTCAGACAAATGTATTCGCCTCTGTGTGTGCAGGAAAGTGAGGCCAACTCTAGGTATTGCTAAGGAGAGAGCATAACAATAGGCACAGGCCAGGGATCCCAGAGCTTAGAGGCTGTGCAGCAGAGTGGGGGAAACCATCGGCCTGCTCTCCCCAACGAACAGCTCAGCTGCTTGCACCTGGTGCTGGTGGCTGCCTTGTCCATTTACACTTGCACATTTTTCATCATGATGCCCCCAGACTGCCCCAGGAGCCAGGCATAATCACAAAGCTGAAAATCCACAGGCACATGGTCAGATCACCTCCAAAACTAAACGTTTTGGCAATGGTGACTTGGGCCTCTGTGGAAGACAATGTCCCAAGGAGAACGTTGTCAAGCCTGCCCCTCCCTCACCAGTTTGTTTCTCTCCCTCAGTCCCTGTGGTTCCCGCCTCCCCCCCAGTCTCAGTCGCCTCCCTTAGTACAGGAAGTGAGGTTACTTAGCCCTTTGTGTAACTAGCATTTCAAGGTGAGCCCGAGCGAGGGGAGATGTAGAGGCAGGAGAAAAGCTCTGTCCAATGGGAGACACCCTCCCCGCTAATTTACGCCATGGCAAGTCACTACAGTAATGGAGAAACCTCCTACAGCCTCAATTGTGCCTTTCTTCCTCTACCACATGTTAAAATGTGGAAGCAAAACCCCCATGGCATCACGATTCTACGGGGTAAGAGGGACAGTGTTGACAAGGAGGGGACCACCTGGAGCAGGCAGGACCCACTCCACATCTGGAAGGGAATCCTCCTGGGGCTATAGCCATCTAGGGAGCCGTGGATCTGGGCTCTGCTGAGAAGCTGCTACTAGTCAACCCTGTTGGGATTTGGGGCAAACTGATGTTCTGGAAATCTAGAGCCACTTAGAAAGCCAGTTGGCTGGAGTGAGCTGGGTCTTTGCCAGTCTCTCTCCTTTGGCTCCCACCACCCCACCCCTCTAGAATTTACTTTCTTTTGTTTGGATTGGTTCCTGCAGGAAGGGGTGCAGAAATCTGTCCTAGAAAGTCAGCCTGAGGTTCCTGGCAAGTTAACCCTGAAAGTCAATCAGTCTCTCCCGCACCCCCAAATCTCCTTAAATAGTCCCCCGCTAACCTGGTGCCCTAAGATCTCCCTCCATGAATCAGACTGGCCCTTTGACTTTTTTGACAATCTCCAGTGGTGTCACACCTGCAAAACAAACAAACAAAAAATCCTGCCATTGTCTAAGGAACAGTTTGAGCTTTTTTACTGGTCTCATTCCACATAGCCTTATAGATCCTGTAAATAGGGGGCTCGCAAAAGTAATATATTGTGTTATGGGAGATATTTTGTACTGTGTCGTTTCCTAAGTCATACCAACATCCTAGAAGTGATGCACTTCCCAGATGATTCTGATCCTCAAAACACTTTGTAAATTGGGGGGAGTGGAAATACATATAAATATACTATATATTTTCCTAGCCTTTCTTCTGGGTCCCTTCCTGAGATATTTGAATCATGGTAGAAAAGAAATTCGAGTCCTGTGTGTAGGGAAGTTACACCTGCTGGCGTTCTTGCAATTGCCTTATGAATTCACAAGCTCTAGGGGGTTCTGAACAGAAGGTGGACGACAGGCACTTTATCCAATCCCAGAAAGAATCTCTAATCACGTGACTGAGAATTCATCGAGAAAAACCTATATTTTTAATGTTAAAACAAATGGGGCTTCCTGGACCTCACAGAGTATTGGCTATCTACAAGTGCTTTTATATTTTGTAACTGTAAAGAGGTTTCATACGCACAGAACAGTCGGGAATCTGGTCAACTGCCGTCAAACAGGATGACCTTTGCATGTACAAAGACGTTGCATTCAGACCATGAAAATAGCAAATAAAGCTTCAATGCAAGTTGCACTGGAGAACTTGGTGTGTCAGTGTGTGGATGAATGGGCTCTCCCATGCATGCACGCCCGTCACCAGCTGAGTCGGTCTGTTGTCTGTGCTGAGCTGGGGGCCACGCGGCAGGAAGCGGGGAGCTGGGGTCCCGGGAGAGGGGACCCATAGAGACAAAGCAGGATTTCCATTCAACGTGGGCTTGAATCCTCGCCCTGCCGCCTCCCGGCTGTGAGATATCGCTGAGCATTGGAGCTCCAAAATGGGGGTGGTGATAGTGATGTTAGCAAGATTTAAGGCACTAGTTCTCAACTAGGTGGATTGTGCCCCGCTTGCCACCCCATGACATCTGGCTATGACGGAAGACATTTTTGGTTATTACAGAGAGGGAAGGAAGATGCTACTGGCATCTAATGGGTAGAGACCAAGGATGCTGCTCAATATCCTGCAGTGCACAGAACGGCTTCCCCACCACCAAGAGTGAACCGGCCTCAGATGGCAATAGTGCTGATCTGAGAACTCTAGACTAAGGAAACATGGCAATGCAAAGGTCCTGGGGACACAATAGGTCCTCAGGATCCTAAAGGATCTGATGGAAGGAAGTCACGCCACCTCTTTCTTCCCCCGTAGATCCCTAGCATGTGGTGGCCGCGTCCCAAGTAATGGGGTCGTATCCAACGCTGTTCGTGGTCACCAGCTGGAGGTTGTCCATTGGTTTGAACCGTCAATAGCGGGCCAGATCCTCAGTGAATGGAAGCAGGCGCTTTGTTACATGATCTCTCCATGGTTGTCCATGTACTGGTGTTGCTCTGACCTCCAGCGACTCACCCAGGGTCACACAGGTCCACCTGCTTTCAGAGGCCAGCAGCCACACACAGTGTCCCACCGCCATCTCCAGGGGTGCAGGGTAACCGGGTTTTAGACTGACTGGAGGATTTTAGGCAAAAATAATAAAACTAAGTCCTGTTTCGTAACCATTCACTCCTTGGCCCTCTCTTCATTTTAGTCTTCCAATAATATTTAATTATAATTTAAAAATGCATGGGCCTAGGTTTTTGGTTTGGGTTTGTTTTTTGGTTTCTGTGTGTTTAGGTTTGTTTGGTTTTTTTGAGGGGGGATCATAGATAAGGTGACTGTCATGATCACCTTTATTTCTGTTGAGGCTAAGATCTGGTGCCTGTGGCAGGCCACCCCCTCCTCCTTCTCCCTGCTGTGTGACTTTGGGTAAGTGACCTCACCTCTCTGAAGTCAATTTCTGAGCCACTCATAAAAGTGGGGGATCACAATTCATTCCCTAAAGAGGGCTGTGTGGGGCAGCCCGGTGGCTCAGCTGTTTAGCGCCGCCTTCAGCCCAGGGCGTGATCCTGGAGACCCGGGATCGAATCCCATGTTGGGCTCCCGGTGCATGGAGCCTGCTTCTCCCTCTGCCTGTGTCTCTGCCTCTCTCTCTGTATGTCTCTCATGAATAAATAAAATAAAAATCTTAAAAATAAATAAATAAAAATCTTAAAAAAATAAAGAGGGCTGAGTGAGGGTGAAATAATGTTCATGAAGCTGGCACAGTGCCTTGCACACAGTGGGTCTTCAATAAATGGTAGTGTGAGTTGCATATGCCTTCTACATAAAGAAAATAAATCTTTGTTGGGTTAGCACATCCCATGGAAACCCAATTTGGGGGTTATATTTAGGGTGATCTGACTTAAAATTTAGGCCATATAGCACATAGGAAAACAGTGATCTGGGGCCCCTTGATTTAAGAGCTGGTGTCACCCAAATAGGAAGGTGATGGCTCTAGAAAGCCAAAGAAAGGGAGTTGGGGGGCACTGAAGAGCTCACACCCTGATGCTCCCCTGCCCCCCGGCGCTATCAGGCTTCCCACAAAGCTGATGAGGTCTGTCTGCCCCTGGAAGCCATCAGGGGCCAAGGCGGAGCACACGGCACTGGGGCCTCCCTGGACCTGCTATTGGAGTGCAGTGGCCTGAGCAGAATCGGGTGGACAGGGCGCTGCCTCAGCAGGCCGGGATGTGCTGGGCTGTCGAAAAGCGCCCATAAATAGGACACCCCGAGCAAAGGTGGACTGAGTCTGCAGCCGGTGCTGGCCCCTCTCTTCTTCCTGAGACTACAGCAGCAGGTCCATTCTGGGACGGGCAGGGGCAGGGAGGCGAGAGCTACCCCGGCCGGTCCAGACCTTTGGGAATCTCCGAGGGGCAGGCACGGCTGGCCCCTGCACAAACCGGGAATTCACCCAAGGCCTGGAGCCAAGAGGGAGGACCCGGTACAGCTGCAAGCCCAACTGGTGTCAGAGGGAGGTGGCCAGGGCTGAGCCCCTGGGCATGTGCTTTGGGGAGGGGGGTGCCCAAAGACCAAGCACGGCTGAGGAAGGGGCAAATCTGGGGGGGGGGTGCTGCCAAGGATGCTGAGAGTCTCCATGAGCCGGACCAGGCCGTATGTCCTGCTGAGGCCAGGTGTAGGCAGGATGGGCAACCTGAGGGCTTTTCATCACTAGGCCTGTGGCCAGAGCATATGGGCCATGCAGCTGTGCCTGCCAGCAGCGGGAATGCCAGGCCGTGGTGGGGAGCAGCGGCTGTGGGGTGGCGATGTGTGTGCCTTGTGGACCACCGTGGATGTCTAAAGTGGGCATGGGGTGTGTGTGTGTGTGTGAGAAAGAGAAAGAGAAAGAGAAAGGGGGAGGCCGTCGTGTTCAGTGGGTGGGATGTGACTGTGTACAAGGATCACAGGAGCTTGAACGTGTGCACGTGCATCCGTGTGCGTGTGCTGATAAACTGGAGAACAGTCCCGTGTGTCTGTGTTTCACAGGGATCATGAGGATCCTCCCATGATGACCTCATTGTGACTATCTTGGGGCTGTGTTGTGTGTCATGGTCCCCACAGGGATGAAGGGGAACTGTCTCTCTGTGTCTGTGTCTCTTTAAGTGGCTGGTACACAGTAGGAGATCCATAAATGCATGTGGAATGAGTAACTGAATGTATGGATACTGGGCTGCAGCAGGTGTCCCAGCACCCAGTCCCACATCCTGCATTCTCTAGACGTCTGTCTGTCTGTCCATCTCTCACCAGTCTGTGGTCTCCTGCTCATCCTGGTCACCCAGCACCAGGCCAGGCACCGAGCAGGTGCTCGTGCAATCTCTGGTGGACAAAAGATAATAGCTCAGAGCTCAGAGGTGGGAGAGATCCCTGCAGAGAGGGACCTCCGAAGCCCACCCTCTGGCCAGGGTCCAGTGCTGGTGTGTCCACACAGAGCTTGAAGAACCCTGTTTGGGGAAGCAGTTGAGTGTAGGAGGAGGGCACGTGCTTTGGAGCCAGGCCCAATCCTGGCCGCTTCCTCACTGCATGCCTTGGGGAAGTGGCTTCACCTCACTGGGCCTCAGAGTTTCCCCCTAAAAAACAGGGATCCTGATCCTATGACTGTCCCAGTCCTTGTGGCCCATGACAGGTGCTCAGTGGATGTTTGTTGAATGACTGAATGACCGAATGCAGTGAGCGAGAACCACGTCCCATAGGCAGCAAGGCTCTGTAGCTCATCCTTGACTTCAATGACATCGACACCTGGTTTGGCCCGGGTGGACCTGGTGACTCGTTTTCCTTTGGTAGAAGCCAGAGGTGTTCCTGGGGAGATGGCTGAACAGCATGGAGCTCCGGAGCAGGCTGCAGCTGGCAAGAGCCATGGAGGCCTAGGGGGCAGCTACAAGGTACGGGGCAGGGGGGGTCCCGGGGGCTGAGGGCCTGGGGCTGCTCTTGGGTCTCAGGGCCAGCTTCCCCTGCCAGGCAGCCCCCCTCCAGAAAGGAGCAGTGGCCCTTCCGGCCATTGGGGGCCAGGAAAGACACCTCACTCACCACGATTTTACTGCATCTTCTCTCTTTTGTGTCCTCACCTGCAGAATAGAACTGGTCACACAAACGCAGCCCGTCTCAGTGGGGCACAGAGGCCAGGGGGTTTCAGGAGACATGGTGCTGACCCTCCTGCCTGACCTCAGTCCACTTCCCTGGCTTCTCTGGGCCTCACCAGCCCCATCTGGAAATGGAAAATGGGAACAGTGCTCACTGTCTCAGGCCCCAGAGCTGGTGCTAAGGAGGATTCCAACAGCTGGGATTTGTTGGCTCTTCCCTCTCTGAGCTGTCCTTGGGGGCTTTAATCTGAGAGAGGGTCTGAGGACAGATTGACTGAAGGGATAACTGTGGGCAGGAGCATTTCTGTGGATGCGCTGGTGGCTTTAAGGAGAGTGAAAGAGAAGCAGAGGCCTGCCTGGCCCTGGGCCTGATTGGTGGCAGCACAGGGTTGGTCTAGGGCCTTCTAAAGGCCTTTGCAAAGCCCCAGGGGCAGCTGCCCACCAAGAAGGTGGATGTCACTGCCAGTCCTTCCCGGTTCCCCTGGCACCTGTGGGCCTTGCCCTGTGCACACCATGGGGAGAAAAGAGCCAGCTGACTTACTGAATCCTGGTGCTGCCACCTAATTTGCTGTGAGCCCGGGACAAGTGGTTTAGGCTTTCTGAGCTTTCTATAAAATGACCAGAACAGATATACCCCAGGGACCTTCTACAAAGACAGTTTGTGCTTCTAGGTGGAGAAGAGAGGCAAAGCCCTTCTCTTCCTTTTATTTTTAAAAAAATTTATATTTATTCATGAGAGACAGAGAGAGAGAGAGAGGCAGAGACACAGGCAGAGAGAGAAGTAGGCTCCCTGTGGGGACTTGATGTGGGACTCGATCCCGGACCCCGGGAGCCACCCAGGCGCCCCAGCCCTCCTCCTCCTTGGCAGCCTCTTCCTCTCTGGGCGTGGGTCAGGTGAAGGTCAACCCAGAGGCTACAAACTGGTGTTACCCTCGGTCAGGCACACGGAAATTGCACATTAAGGGAAATATATATTTCTGGCCTCTCTTGAAAAGTTTAACACGGGGCCCACGTTCCCTCCTGGCCATAAGCGGCTTCATTTCCCTCCCGTGGGTCTGGCGGGTTCCTGCCAGGTACTTGCAATCCCTGGTTGGACGTTCCTGGAGGCGTTCCCCTCCGTGGCCACGAGGGGGCAGTGCAAGCCCGAGGCCGAGGCTGGCTGTGGTCGTGCCGGTGCCTGCCGACGCCCCAAGGAGGACTGCGCGGGCGGTGGGGGCTGGGGCTGGGGCTGGGGCTGGGAGCGCGACCCCGACCCCGACCCCCGACCCCCGTGGGATGCTCAGGACGCGGCCCTTTCAGGTGATCGTGTACGAAATGGAGAACTTCCAGGGCAAGCGGTGCGAGCTCTCGGCTGAGTGCCCCAACCTGACAGAGAGCCTGCTGGAGAAGGTGGGCTCCATCCAGGTGGAGTCTGGGCCGTGAGTACCTGGACCCCCAGCCCCCTCCTCACAGCCCTGAGCTTTCTGAGAATCAGGAGGTCCGGTCCCGGTTCTGGATCTGCAGTGGGGCCTTAAGCAACTCCCTTCCCATCTCTGGCCTCAGTTTTCCCATCTGTCAAATGGGAATAACAGTGGCATGCGCTTCAGATGGAGTCTTTGCGAAAATGAATAGAAAGATGCACATAAATAATAGCAATATAATAATAACGAGGAAGAGGAGGAGGGAGAGGAACTGTCTTCGGATTACCTACTATGTGCCGGACATCGTACTAAGGCCTTTCCTGAGCACCTACACAGGGGCTGCTGTGCATAAAATAGACTCTTCATACTGTCTCCCAGGATGATTTTCTGGCTCAGAGTCTCAGCTTCCAGTATGTTCTAGGAGCTCCTTGAATACTTGGACCAGGGATCCATGGTAGGGTTGGAGGGAGGGTTCAAGGCCAAAGGTCAGCAGCTTGGAGGCCCTCCCCTCACTAGACACGGGTCCTCCCTCAGAAGCAGGGGTGGCCACCCGGGCCTGTTGCCTCCCACAGGTGGCTGGCGTTCGAGCGCAGAGCCTTCCGCGGGGAGCAGTTTGTCCTGGAGAAGGGCGATTACCCTCGCTGGGATGCCTGGTCCAACAGCCACCACAGTGACAGCCTCCTGTCCCTCCGGCCTCTGCACATCGTAAGTACTGCCCCTGGCGCTCCGGGGAGCTCTCAGAAGCAGGACATGCTGGGAGCTGGCGGGCCAGGGTCCCTGCTTCCGTCATCTCTGACCTAAATGATCGCATGCAACCGGAGGCAGGTGGCTCTGGAATTGTCACTGGGCTGGGGATTGGGACAGCAGGATGCACATCTTGACTTCGCCAGCACGGCACTGACACTTCCCTGGGGAGCCCTGTGTAAATCAGGAGCCTCGTGACCCGGTCTCGGCTCAGTATCCCACAGTGACACTTTCAAATGTCGCTCTGCTGCCCCACCGGCTTGCCCCTCGCTCGGTGGCTGCCCCAGCCCTTCCTCCTTGTCACAGCACCTGCTGCCTGCTTGCAGGATGGCGGGAGGAAAGCTAAGACCATGTCAGAACCTGGCTTAGTAAGGAGGGACTCCTCCTACGTTACTCATGTTTATCTCCTTCCCGCCTCTCTGTGCCTCGGTTTCCCGATCTGCTAAATGGTGGAGTTTCTCAAGAGCTGATAAGGGCCCCTGGTGGTTTCCTGGCTCCCGGGGCCCTAAGATTCCTAAGGACCCGCCCTAGCACCGTCCCTCCCGCAGGCCTCTGGGGACTGCCCTCCCTGGGGCCCTGAGCTTGGGGGTGGGCGTGACCCCGTGGCCCTGGAGCCTCTCGGCACTCAGCGGCCCTGCTCCGAGCCTGGGAGCAGCCGGCCCACCCCGTGATCCCCCCCAGGATGGCCCAGATCACAAACTGCACCTGTTCGAGAACCCAGCCTTCAGCGGCCGCAAGATGGAAATAGTGGACGACGACGTGCCCAGCCTCTGGGCGCACGGCTTCCAGGACCGCGTGGCGAGCATCCGGGCCGTCAACGGGACGTAAGGGACCCAGTCCCCACTCCTGCCCCTGCGCCGGCCTCGCGCCCCAGATACAATCTCCATTCATTGTGCTTGCTGCCCGGCGGCCGCCCCCTGCTCCTGCGGGTCTCGAGGCCCTGGGCGCAAGGCGGCTGCCCCCGCGCGACCCTGGCTCACAGCCCCACTCCAGAGCCCCGGGCTGCAAATGCCTAACTGCTCACACTCCTGTCCCATTGGATTTCCAGCAAGCTTTGCCTGTAGGAGGTTTTATCTTTATTTTCTTTTTTAAAGGCTTTATTGATTTATTCATGAGAGACACAGAGACAGGCAGAGGGAGAGGCAGAGACACAGGCAGAGGGAGAAGCAGGCTCCGCAAGAGAAGCCCGATGTGGGACTCGATCCCAGGATCCTGGGATCACAGCCTGAGTCAAAGGCAGACACTCAACTGCTGAGCCACCCAGGCATCCCTTATCTTTATTTTTTAATCAAGTGAATCTGTTCCTCCTACCTGTCCCTGTCTAAATATTTGCTCCTTTTTGAAACATCCCCAGACCCTTGAACTAATTCTCAGGGTTGTTTTTTTTTTTTTTTTCCTCTTCATAATCTTGGTCCTTACCAAGGTAAGAAGTGACATAGTGATTCTCTAGGTATGGCCTGACTAGCACATAGGAGAGTACATAGTGCATCACCTCCTTCCTTCTAGGCTTACTAGCTCTGTTAATGCAACCTTAAGATCGCCTTCCCTTTGTCAGTGACTGCATCTCACCCTATGGGCTTGAGGTCTGGGCTTGAGCCTTGAAAGGTGCTGCCTCTCCCTGATAATAATTTATTCAACAACTTTTTACTGAGCATTTCCACGTGCAGCATATGGGGCAACAAGAATTACACAGCCTCTGCCCTCAAGAATCTTAGTCTGCTAGGGAGACACACAAGGAGACAGTTATCCACAATTGACAGGTATCCACAATTCACTGAGACCAGGATTGTGATGGGGGACACACGGGACACACGGGAGCTCTGAGAGTCCCCACCAGGGAATGCCAACTCAATTCTGCCTGGGGGAGTCAGCCAGAATCTGAATCCCCCAGATTCAGTCCTGGGGGAGGAGACACACAAACTAGGATGTAAAGAATATGAATGAAAGGGGAGAGGGACACCGGGCAGAAGGACAGGATGTGTGACGGCTCAGAGACACTTCACTTCAAGGAAGGTAGAGCAAGCGAGGTTAGAGCATGGGGTGTGAAGAAAGAAGGTTGAGAGCCGAGGCTGGAGACGGTTAGTGAAGGAGCAGCGTAGGGAGTTTGAATTCTCCCGAGGGCCCTGGGGAGCCAGGGAGGAATTCAGGCAGGCGGAGAGGGTGGTCCCATGCCGGCTTTAAGAGGCTTGGTCGGGCTGGAGGCGGGGGGCCGTCCATCCTCACCCCGACCTTGGTACCCGGCAGGTGGGTTGGCTATGAGTTCCCGGGCTACCGCGGGCGCCAGTACGTGTTCGAGCGGGGCGAGTACCGCCACTGGAACGAGTGGGACGCTAACCAGCCGCAGCTGCAGTCCGTGCGCCGCATCCGGGACCAGAAGTGGCACAAGCGGGGCTGCTTCCTCAGCAGCTGAAGGGCACCCAGGCCCCAGTGGCCCAGACCCGCCCTGGGGGGCAGCAGAGGCAAGAAGAGGAGGCTCCAGGGCCAGGGTGATGGTGTGCTTGTCCCCCCTTCCCCGGAATCTGCTCAATAAAGTCTGGGGCCGGTCCCCCACCTGCCATGTTCCTCTGCGTCACTTCTTGAGGGGGCTGAGGCCTTAGGGCTCTGGGAACCCCCCAAGGGGGGCTGTGAGCCAGGCTCACACCCTAGGCTCTAGTTGTTTTAGGCAGAGTCACATGCACATCTTGCACTGATTTTGTGTTTGTTTTCCTTTCTGTGTTTCCATCTGTCAGTCTATCCATCCATCCATCTATCCATCGTATCCATTCATCCATCCATCCATCTATCCATCGTATCCATCCATCCATCCATCCATCCATCTATCCATCGTATCCATCTATCCATCCATCCATCCATTTTTCCTTCCATCTTTCTGCTTTTCTTCTTTCCATTGATTTATCCATCCTTTCACCCACCCATCTTTTTATCCATCCTTCTATCCATTTGTCCATCAGTTCTTCTTTCCATCCATTCTCCCATTGATCCATCCATTCTCTCTCTTGTCCATCCGTCCATCCATCAACTCATCCATTCATCCTTCCATCTATCCATCCATCCATTCATCCATCCATTGATTATCCATCATGTCCACCTCCATCTCTTTGTCAGCGTCTGTTTTCATTAGTTTATTCAGGAAATGCCAGGCCCTGTGTAAGGCCTGAAGACACAGCAGGGAACAAAACAAAGTCCTGCCGTCACAGAGTTCGCCTTCTAGGTACACAGGAAACAAGTAGATTCCAAATATGTTAGGAGGTGGCAAGTGCTACAGGTAGGAAAGTGCAGTATTATGATGGGAGATGATGATTAGTGGGGTTAGAGATCTCTGCTCTGAGCAGGTGACATTTGAATTGAGACCTGAATGAACCATGAGAATATTCCAGGCAGAGGAATAATGGGTGTGAAGGTCCCAAGCAGGAGTATGGCGGGTGATGGAGATGTGGCGAGGAAGGCATCAGCTGGGAAAGGAGTAAGCAGTAGAATGGGGGAGTGATCAGAGATGGAGGGGAGCCAGGGCAGTTAGAGCTTTGCAAACCCTTCTCTGAGGGAGGTGGGAGCCATGGAGAGTCTGGGAGAGGTGACGCATGACTTAACAGGATTGCTCTGGCTGTGGCACAGAGTATAGACCGTGGGGCCCTGGGGGACATGGGGAGACCGGCTGGGAGGCCATTAACTGAACCACGATGGTGTGATCTCCCTGACTCTCTCTTCTCCCTGCGTCAGTAGCTCTGTCCACCCCCCAGACGTCTTCGGTGGCCTTGGCTGGGGGACTGAGCCTCCACCCCGCCTCCCATCACTGACCGTGACTGCTCCGAGCCTCAGTGCCTTCCTCTGGCTGAAGGGTGATGCCACGACAGTGCCAGTCATGAATGGGAGCCTCCTCTGGCCCCAGTGGGAGGAAGAGGGGGTGTCCCCTCTGACAGTCGGGTGACAGCTGGCTTCCTGCAGTCCCAGGGACCTGCCCTCAGCCTTCGCACCTCCATGAGCTGGTCCTGCATGTTTCCCAGACTTTGTTCCCCTGTTGTGCCCAGAGCCCATCCCCACCACCTGCAGCCTCCCGGCAGCTGATGCAGGGGGCCCCTGGAAGGCATTGAAAGGATTCCAGCAATTGTCAGTTACTTCAGCCTGCGTATTTCAAAAATATGTGTGCACAGCCCAGAAATCACCTTGAATTATTTTTACATCGGTGTGTAGGAGAGTTGGGTGGGGCGTCAGGCTCAGGGTGGAGGGAGAGGGGCACCCAGCACCCACCCCATCCCCTGAAAGGATGGCATCACCCCCACTCCTCCCACCTCCCCCCCACCGCCCCCAAGACCCACCCCCTCGTCCCTCTCACAGAGACCTTGTTTTGCTTTGTAAACCAGTCCTTTCTGAATGCTAGACCCAGTGCTAGGGCTGTTTGGACATCACCTGGGTCACTGAACCCAAAGATGACCTTGGACGGCAGGCACAGTTGTTGTTTTTTCTAAGATTTTATTTATTTATTCATGAGAGACACAGAGAGAGGCAGAGACACAGGCAGAGGGAGAAGCAGGCTCCCTGCAGGGAGCCCGATGTGGGACTCGATCCCGGGACCCTGGGATCATGACCTGAGCCGAAGGCAGACGCTCAACCACTGAACCACCCAGCGCCTGGAAGGCAGGCACAGTCCATCCCATTTCACAGATGAGGAGCCCGAGGCTCAGAGAGGCAGCATCAGCTTCCCGGGGCCACACAACAAGAAGCGCTCGAGCTGAGGTCTGCACTCTGAGAGCTGACTCTGGAACGTGGGCTCCTGAGCCCCGCACACTGTGATGTGTCCAGCAGGGGCAGGCACACATAGCGGAGAAAAAACCAACAGTAGCAACAATACTCATAAAAGCCACCCGGTCGTCCCCACAGTGTGCAGAGTACACGGCTGGGTGCTCTACGGGGTCACCTCTAATCTGCTAACTGGTGACACTGAGCCCCGTGTGCAGAGAGCAGCTGAGGCCCGGAGCCCTAAGCAGACGCCCCAAGTGCCAGAGCTTTGGAGTGGCGGGATCAGGACTCAAGTTCACGGCTGCCTCCAAAGCTCATCCACACCCCCCGACCGCCCCACCCGGCCCGCTGGCTGTCCATGCTGTGGTTGGCTAAACTAAAGCCTCTCGTGCTGCCGCAGCCACTTTTAAATGGGCACCTACTGTGTTCTGGACATTGGGCCAGGGGCTGTCTGCGCCTGGTCCCGGCTAGACCACGACTGGCTCCTGGGTGACGGGGTCAGAGGAGGGATTGCAGGGAGGCCAACTCGGTGCCGTGCCAGTGGGTCCCTGCTTCCTGGCCCCCATTGAGCCCCGGGGTCTGCAGCTGGGCTGACTCTAGAGGTGGGGGGACTGCAGATCCAGGGGGACGCAGGAGGTCACTGGTGTCTGAGGACTATCCAAAGCCTCAGACCCACACTAACCAACGGTCTGGGTCAGGGAGGGCTTGCTCTCTGCATTCAATCCTCCTCACGGCCCGGGAAGCTCAGAGAGGGATTGCTGATGGCGGGGGTCACACAGCCTGGGAGGTGCAGAGCTGAGATCTGACCCCGGGCCTGTCTGACTCCAAAAGGCCACTCTTAGCTCCAACCCAGACTCAAATTCTAGCTTCTGCAGGGACAGGGCCTGAGAGGAATAGTAAAGTAAGTACCTCTCAGTGACAGGAGGGTGAGGGTCACGAAAGCACTTTACCCGTTTACCCGTTTAATCGAGAGGCAGCGTCGTCTAATGGTGAATAGCAGAATGGCCGAGTGGGGCTTTTGATCCACACCACTTGGGTTCCTTTCCAGGCTCTGCCACTTGCTGTGTGCCTTTGGGCAGATTGCTTAGCCTCTCTGTGCCTCGGTGTTCTCATCCATGACTCGGGGCTAATCACACCACCTGTCTCACAGGTTGTTGTGAGTATTGATACGAATTTAATTTGCAGGATGGGCTGAGAATGCCGGGTAAAACGGAGGAGCTACTAGGCTGAGCGTTCGCCCTCCGCCTCACCATCGTCAAAAATTGTGACCGTGGAGATGGGCTCCATGGTTATGTGGAGCAGAGACTTCCCAAGAACCCAGCAATGAGGTTTGTCTTAAGGACGTCAGTGCAAACAAGGACATAAGGCAACCAGGCCGCAGCAAGGCTTCAGGGGGAAAAGGGGGCCCGGGGGTGAGCAGGGCTCATGGAGGCAGGACTAGAGCCCATGGACTCTCGGGAGCTGGGCAGCAGGTTCTGTGGGCATCGTCCTGGGGCCCCAGCCTTGGTGCGCCCCAGCGAATGCGTCCGCCACTCCTGGTTCTCTTGGGGTCTTCTTGCCACGTCCTGCGGCCAGCAGCTCCTCCTCCAGCCCTTAGTCTGCCCCGATGGCAGCAGATGCCGTGTGCTTCCCTGTGGCCCTTAGAACGTACAATGTTGGTATGCCCGGGGCAGCGGGAACTCTGGGGAATGAACACCCAGTGGGTGCCACAACTCATCCGATGACCCATCCAGTGGCTAACAGGAATCGGTACGCAGGGACCCCAGCTCCCCATCCTCAGGCAGGAACTTCCCCAACCATTCTTCCCCATTTTGTAAAATCACAGGGCCCGTGGCAATGTTGCCCGTGGAGTTGGCATCATTGATAAATCACTGCTGGGCCAGTGTGCATGTGTGGCTGCATTATGTTCATGATGATTCTTTATGGACATGTGAACATGTCAAATGCATGTCCAGTTCAATATAACCTTATCCAACCTTGTCTATGATAAGCAGCACAAACACCTCAAATTCCTGGGCACCTGGGTGGCTCAGTGGTTAAGCGTCTGCCTTTGCAACACGGACGTGAGAAAATGCTCTGCATCACTTGCCATCAGGGAAATACAAATCGAAACCACCATGAGATACCACCTCACACCAGTGAGAATGGGGAACATTAACAAGGCAGGAAACCACAAATGTTGGAGAGGACGCGGAGAAAGGGGAACCCTCTTGCACTGTAGGTGGGAATGTGAACTGGTGCAGCCACTCTGGAAAACTGTGTGGAGGTGCCTCAAAGAGTTAAAAATAGACCTGCCCTACGACCCAGCAATTGTACTGCTGGGGATTTACCCCAAAGATTCAGATGCAATGAAACGCCGGGACACCTGCACCCCGATGTTTCTAGCAGCAATGTCCACAGTAGCCAAACTGTGGAAGGAGCCTCGGGGTCCATCGAAAGATGAATGGATAAAGAAGATGTGGTTTCTGTATACAATGGAATATTACTCAGCCATTAGAAACGACAAATACCCACCATTTGCTTCAACGTGGATGGAACTGGAGGGTATTATGCTGAGTGAAGTAAGTCAATCGGAGAAGGACAAACAGTGTATGTTCTCATTCATTTGGGGAATATGAATAATAGTGAAAGGGAATATAAGGGAAGGGAGAAGAAATGTGTGGGAAATATCAGACA